TATAAAATACTTTATGTAATATTAATATAAATGAATATTGAATAATAAATTTATATTTTCTTGAGATTAACATGTAAAAATGAAATATTAGCATAGCTTTAAACTAAATATACTTAATTAATTTTGTAATCGTATTTTTATGTAGGGTATAATAGTATATGTATCAACAATTATTACTATTATTATAGAAAAGTTTATTATTGAGAATCAAATAATGATATTTTAATAGTGCATATGCAAACATTTATATTATTTTAAACTAACAGATTACATTTTTAAAAATACATTTATGTAATTAATATTTTAGGTATATAATACTCTATGAATAATAATCATTTACATTAATATATTTAAAATATGTGATTTAAAAAATAGTATGCTTAATTTGTATTATATATACATTAAAAACGTTAATCAAAAATACTATATATTACAATATATGAAATTGAGATAGATAATAAATATTGAACAATGTACTTAAACATAATTTCAGAAATTAACTATTTATATTCAGTGATACCTTATATTTTTTTCAATCATTATATGAACGAAACATTCATTTGTTTAGCAAATAATACAAATTTTGTAAACCAAAATCAAACTGTCTCAATTGTATTGGTAAGTTAATCATATTCACAAACAAAATATTTTTCATATACAATATATCCTATGTTATAATTCATATCAAATATATAAAATTGTAAATTTAAATTATAGTAAATTATATATAAATAGGGCTCAAAGCTCACTTATGGGATTAATTTGTTAATTGTTCAATATATTACATGTGGACAACATTTGGCTATACAATTTACGAACAAATGGAATAATGACACCAAGGTAAGTCTTAATTTATATTTAGATGTTAATCAACATGTTAAATGTTTAAATATTTAGTTATTAACATCACTTGGTTTATACCCTTCAACATCATTAAGGTTTAGTATTATTGGCATACCTTACAAGGGGTTTCATTTTATAGAGATTGTAACCGGGTTCAAATCTATACAAAGCCAATCGTATTTTGCATTTATTAAACTTTTTGATTATATGGTAATTTTTTATAATGTTCATTTATACTGTTTAACAGTAGATAGTCAATTGTTAAATGATAATTTAATTTATAATTTTTAAATTAGATATGGCTTAACATTATAATGTTTTACATAATTATTTCCGCAATTATGACATATTTGTGTAAATCAAGGATTACAGCCCTAAATGCATTCATTGAGATCCCAAAATGTCTTATAAATCAATCGTCAATATTATTATCACAGTTAAAATATTTTGCAAAATTATCACGATTAAACTTCATAATATTTTGGTTAATACTATTCATATGGCTATTGTGCGCAAATATTATAACAAAATCGTTTTCATCGGTTTTATTGAAAACATATTTTACGTTAAAATTGGTGCCAATAGTCGAGACATTAGACGATGTGATCAGAAATGAAAACTTATTCATTACAGTGAATGAGCCTGATTTGAAAACTATTTCTAATAGCTCAATTAAATATAAAAAGCCATTAACATCACTAATTAATAGACATCATTCATATGAAAATATTTTAAAACTCAAGATAAACGTGCAAAATGGTAATTTTTTACATGAAACTATTGCCAAAAACTTAATTGATGGCCAAGGTGTATTATTATTACATACATTCATAACCACTCAATTTAAAGATACATTTACAGATTATATTGATTACTTTAAAATAAGCGAGAATAAATATTTCCATGACTATGCCTACTATATGGTTAATGGACACCATAACTACACGTATAAAATTGTATTCTGGTATTGATTTAACATAATTAAAATTTTATTTTTATAATAAATAGATTGGGTATATTTATAAGTATGATTTTTATAATTATAACTTATAATTATTTGTTTTTAATGCAATTTTGTAATTTATTTTAAACTGAAATCTAATTCTATATATAACATTATAAATAATATTTTTTAATGTAGTTTAATTATTTACTAAAATTAATTTATTTATTTAATTATAGTTTCACACAAGTCGTCGAAACTGGTTTAAATTATCATAGCGATACAATTGGCAAGATAATTTTAAATCGCTATTTAATCCGTATAAAAAAAGTGCCCAAAATTAAAATTACCCACAAAAATTATATACTACATACTAATATACGTTTATACAATTTATTTAACAATGTTCTTATTATAATATTTTTTTGTTATTTTATTTCAGTATTTTGTATAATTTTTGAGATATATGTTAAACCTTAACAGAATAAATTTGAATAATTATTATAGAAACTAATTTGTAAGTTTAATTAATTTAGTTATTGTTTTTATGATAAATATAAAATGTATTATATGTTAAAGATTGAGTGCACATGTATATATTTAATTTGCATAGTTTGGTACATATCAAAATATAAAATATTATATTCTTATATACATTTAATAAAATAAAAGTGATTTACCAATAATACAAATGAATATTAAGCTATGTATAAATTTACATTTTTATTTATACAAAAACTTAATTTCTTTAAATGTGGAATAAATTATTATTATTAAAAAATAAGTAAAATACACATGTATAAATAAGTGAAATATTGCTAATCTGAATAATAAACTCATTACAGGGAGCTTATTCATAAACAGTATGGAAACAATTATATTGAAATCAATATTGTATTTAATATGATAACATTATTATTAAACTAAAGAAATATAATATAGTTGCAAGAATTGTCTTTTATTTAACTGGTTTGTTGTCATATAGTATATGGTATATAGTATAGTACATAGTTAAAAATGATTTCAGATATCCATTCAAAAATAGGATATTTATTTTCATTTATACCATACATACCATTTCTGCTCCCTTTTTGTCTATTATTTATAAATCAGAAAATATTCAGAATTCATTACAAATGAAATAGTATCAATTTGAAAACAACATACTGTAGTCAATTTTACCCCAACCCGTGGCCACACATTCCTTATCATAAAACTCTGACTTCACATCTGGTGGCAGACAAAGTGGTTGAACGTATTCTGAGGTCTCAATCGGTTCTTTGAGTTTCATCAAAGCTATGTCATTGTCATAACCCCTATACCAGGGATAATGAAATACATGTGACACTGAATGAGTGGTCTCATGACTTTCTGGCTCTTTCTGGTGATGTTCGCCAACTAAATCATACAAACATTAAATATTTAAGCAATTATTGCAATCAATGGGCTTTACCTCTCACTTCCCAATGCATGGCTTGTGGTAAAGTAAAGAGTGGACTGTAATATGAATTGAAAAAAGTTTTTACATAATTTTTTATATAATTGTTATGATCTTTAAATACAAAATTTGTCAACAGAGTTGAATGACTTTTAACTAAAAACTATTGAAACAAATATTTGATTTATTAGTAGCAACACATGATCTAAAGAATGTAATACAAGTAATTAAAACTCGCAAAACTAGTTGTGGATTAAGCTCTCTATCTGTCATATCGTTTGACATTTTTCAACATAAGGCACAAGAATTCGTTTTCCAATAATTGTATGTAATTATGTATATACTTAATAATACAATGAGCTGCAGTTATTATCCATTGAGTGTCTATTAATACACCTGAAAATGAAAATTATGAACTTTAAAATTATTATTTTCATTTTAGTAATTAATATTTTTAAATTTATAATTAAAACTTGTTATTAGTTTATCACAGATATGATAACAGTATTAATATATCCTTTTGGAAAAATATCTAGAAATCTCACTCCTATAATGACATACAAAACTCCTATTCTGATTGTAATCTTAATTAATAATCTAATTAACTAATAATCCAAATATGAATACCTCCGCACCAGTGTCCGACTTTACCCGCTTGAGGATGTGTTAATCTGATTGATACCTAGTGAGCGAATATAAGATACTTAATATACAAAATAGACCAGGGTGATTAAGATGTGACCTGCCAGGGCCATTCTCCAGGCTGTGAACTATTCCCACCCACTATTCTTTCAGTGAGCGGACTCTCGTTATTAAACTTATTAACGCCACAAACTTATTAAAACAGTAAATCAATTATAAACTTATAAATTGTTTAATTAACTCTTAAATAACAAACCCGTCTCTGAAGTAATCAATCGCCACAACAAGGATGAGCTCAATATCTCAAAGATCACCAGAATTTGCATAATATTAACAATAAAACAGATTCAGTGCTCAATAGATATTTAATCGAGGTAACTGAAAAACTGACATCAGGTTAGTGTTTAATCACTGAAACCACTGGAAAAAATGACAAAAACACCAAACTTTTGGATTCAAACCAAAAGTTGTCGCACAGACACCACTTATTTAATATCCCGCGGAAACATTGAGGCATTTCTCAACTGATTTTCGTACACTTCTTCTCGTTTCTGGTGTACACTTCTTGTGCGACTCCTATCCTAATATCAAACTCCACCTCAAAATCACAGAACCTGTGCTTCAACTGCCGACGCGATCATGACCTCAACCATTAACTCATTGCTACTCGATATGAGACTTATGTTTGACTTTATATAACATTTTTTATTCATTTATTCTAACATATGATAAGCTCCTGAATTAATTACCTTTCGTGCGACCATATTAAAAATATAATATATTTATATCCAGATGAGTTATGTAGACGACGTCCAATTTGTGGGTTAATTAACGCAATAAATGTAGATTTCAAAATAAAAATTTCAAAATTTATTTGTATATCAAAAAAAATTATTTAAAAATTACTATTTATAAAATTTAAATTATTGTATAAATTAATTACAGAAAACTTAACAAAAAATGGAGAAAATACTAAATTTCAAAATTATGTACAGAACTAGAAGTGAAGCTGTGATCCATTGGTTGCTTATCAGTGACCTATTGATGCAATTATTGCAATGCAATGTGTGTTTCGTATGGTTTGAAACAAATTGAAAATTTTTTATAACTCGTGAGGTGTTTGACAAATAGTGTTTACGAGGTGTGAATTTGGATCCAATCGACAAACTCTGATATACGGGTATAAACACCAGGAAGGTTAGGGCGCGCACAGCCAACCCCTGTTTGTGAACAAATATGAAATTGTAATACAAATTGTGTTATAACTACAGTTAGCACATCAACACTGACCCCAAGACACGAGTCCAATGAGAGTTGTTTTGCCCTCTTCTTTCAGACTTAAGGGGGAGCCGGAGTCCCCCTGACACGAGTCCCTCCCCCCGTCTTTATATCCGGCGCACATCATATTTGGGAATATGTTTTCCCTTCGGCCCACACTTTTCATCCATTTCTGACACTCGTCTGAATCAATCACTTCGACGTCGACTTTTTGGAGGACTCCCGGCGACGTTGAGATACCGTATTGGGTTCGCCCCCAACCCGTGGCCGTCGCCTTTTCACCCGTAAAGTTCTGACCTAAAGGTCACGTTTTGTTCAAACAAATTATAAACCAAAATATTTATTCAATTCTCAATCATTACTAAAGACAACTCTGTAATTATTAAATTATTTATTACAAAGTGTATAAATTTAAAATTGCTTTGAAATAAACTTTACAACTAAATGCTAATTAAATTGTATATAAATTCTATTATATTTTCTATGCTATAAGACATTCCTAAATATCCACGAATTCATAAATCAATCAATAATTAAATCAGCTAACACTAAAACACTAGTAAGTTATATTTTAAATAAAAACAAAAATATTATTCTGTATTATCAAAATGTAACAAAATTTATACAGTAACTTGTTTAAATCACTTATCAATATCACTTTTCTAAATCAATTTTAAACTAAAAAACTACAGAGCCATCATCCCCTTTATATGAAACTTAAAATAAATTTATAAACTTATCTTAAATACGTTGACAAAATAAAATAAACTTTTCAACGAAAATACTTGTGCGATAATTTGTGAATATATTAAACTCATTGATAACTGTAAGATTAAAAAGCTTTTAACAAAGTTTTTAAATATATTCAAAACAATGAAATTACAGATACATATCTGACCTGAAAATTTAATTTAATTTAACAAAAGAGGTTTCATTTAGAAAGATCATTAAATTAGTCGATGAAATCTCACGAAAAATGAATAATAAAATATAGAGGAGATGTTTGTCAGTAAAAACCAAAAGTCATACCTTTTTGTGGCAAACAAATGGGAATAATATGTTCCCTAAAAGTGATTTCTTGGTTGAGCTCTAGTAAGGCGATGTCGTTTTGATAAGTGGCCGGATTGTATGCCTCGTTGACTACTTTCCGGCGAACCCCGTATTCTTCGTGTGCTAACTGTTCCGTATGCGCTCTCAGGTTATAGTCGCCGAGTCTTACTCGCAAATTATTGGCCGGAGTTCTGCACCGGGATTCACACAACAAAAACATCAAAAATAAAAGGCGTTTTTAATACAATTACTGCCAATTAAGAGGAAGTGTTTGATAAAAGCGATAAAAAGTGTGCAATACTTGTATACACAATGGGCTGCCGTCACAATCCAACGGTTCTTAATGAGAGCGCCGCCGCACGATATCTTCTGATTGAAGTACTGTTGCTTCACAATAGCCGCCTGCCATGGGTTGTGACCGAACCGGGCGTTCTCTCCGCCCACTATCTTCGCCCCCCTATTGAAGTAGATTTTGCCACATTCTGTCACAAAAGGGTTCATCACATCATTACTAACTTCTTAATCATTTATCACTGATTTAGTGATATATGTGTAATAATAGCAATAATTGTAATATTAATACCAGGTTCGTTTACTGGCTCGGATGTGGTCACATTAGCAGTTGCATTGAAGGGCACTTCATGAGGTATACAACAACTCCATAGTACACCGCCGTTGCAGAGATCCAGTGGTCTCTTTCCCTGCATCCAACACGAGATGCCTAACCCGCACGGGTAGGTCTCGCTCTGATAAAAGCATTGCTGAGGAAATGCTTTGAAAAAGAAATAACAATAAATTGAGTATTTGTTTAAATCAATGAATTGTTTAGGTGAGACTCACACAAAATATATCTGGCAATACTCAATAAGTTCCACAGAGTTTGTGAATTTTGTTTGTAGTTTTGGCTCTGGCTTTGACTCTGACTCTGGCGATGAGTTTTCGAGAGATGGGATGTCAATGAACTGGCGATGGAAAGGGATGAAAGCGGTGAGAGGGCCGACAGTGGACTGATTCGGCCCCCGATGTATGCAAGTGTTGGCGGAAACTCAATGATACAAACGATGACTAGAATTGCATCAATGCTTCTAAACATTCTGTCATTTTGTATCCAAAAATATATGATTAATATATGATTACAAATGAGTGTCAAATAAATTATTTTTAATCTCAGTTCTTATTACGGTATATAAAATATCATTTCATATCAGAATTACGTAAAAACCCATAAAAACTAAAATTTTTAAAACTATAAATAATTACATTTTTCAAGATAAAGGCATACTTTCAAAGCTATATTGAAATGGCATGAAAAAAGGTCAGATATAATCCCAAAAATTAAGATCTGTCACAAATCATCGTAAATATAGTAAAAAAGTCAAACTCTGAGCGCTTACCTATTTTGAAAAATAATGAGATTTTTAGAAATCCTCTTTCAGTTGTTTCCAATGAATATTCAAATAAGGATTTCATAAATACATACATTAAAGCAATGGTTAATCGCTTGTATCGCTAAACACAAGTCATCGCATATTATGAACGGATAAACACTTGAAGAGAAAATTGATTAACATGAAAATTAAATAAAAATTGTGAATTCAATTTGACGATATCAATGCTCACAACACACAACAAACAAATTGTATTTTTCACAAAAGTTAGCATTTCTTAGTGGATAACAGGAGTCTAGAAGTAGGTCTGACTCGAGACTCACTCAAAGCTGGCTAACGGTGCGCGCGGTCTTCACATTACAAAAGTATGACAAATGCATGGATTGTTCGCCAGCAGTGACACCATTCATACCACTCATGCCATTGCTATCCATTGAAGGAGTTGTCTTCAAAACAAAACTCTTTTATACATCACTTGAAAAACACAGCCAAACGTAACTCTATTGAAGACCGGACTAACACTTGGATTACTTTTTCATATTATATTAACTTATCTCTCAAACAACACCACCACTTATAACCAGAATAACACATGGCTTTAAATAAGTGGCTTTCGGTTCCCAATAGCTTATAAACTTATAACTTATAAACACTTGATTCCTGTGCCTGTTGTGTATCATAGGCACTGATATCGCATAAACTTTTTTATTTACCTGTAATTAACGTAGAAATTGATTAGAATTAGAGTTGAGGTGAGTTTATACTACGAAACGATTATTTGACTGCTGCGCCCGAGTAAAACATTAGTATTGTCTCGTTTATAGACTAGTTATTGAGTACTATTAGTGGCACACAAACTACTCTACGGTTGTGACCCATTTCCTACTATTACTACTCTTAACTACAGCACTACAACACATACGGTATTATGCTTTTACGCTCATTTCAAGATCAGGGTTATTGGTTTAAAATCCTGCTCACTGTATGCTGGAGTGCATTATAAGCCCAATTCAGACCCAATAGTATATAAATCAGACACAATTCACTCAATTCGACAATTGTCTCAATAAATGTTTTCTACATTTGCTGCAAACAAATCATGCGATTCCCTGATTCTCATCGTTTAGTAATTTCCCAAATTATATAATTAACATAAAATTGAAAATATAATGCATTTTGTTTTGAGTCTAGTTTAGAGTCTAATAATACGGAAATTGTTCTCAAATTCTAATGCCTATAAAAATTAAGAATAATTTTATTGTTGGTTTGTTTTTTAGACTTTTGTAATATTGAGCTTATATTAAAATAGTGAACATTATAAAAATATAAGCCTCAAAAAATAATTCCAACTTATAATGTAGAATATTTAGTAAAATTAGGCTTTATAAGTATAATATAACAATAAACTAATTAATGTAGTATATTAGATTATTAATAACTCTTAAATCAATAATTGTTTAAAATGAAATTATAAAAACTCTTAATTATGGTACACTATGGTAAATGTAAAACTAGCACTTTATAATAATTCATGGACATATTTTGGGTAAAATTTGAGGTCACATCTGAACCCATATCCAAATATTGCATACATTAATGAAATGGAGAAATGTGTGTGAAAACTGTGAGATTTCGATATACAAGTAAAGCATATTTGTTTAATATTCAACATTAAGTGAGACAACATAACTTGAAAAATAAGTTTAGATTCAAAAATTAAAAGTATGTTAGATTTGATAATTAGACTAACTATGGTATATTAGCAATGGCTAGTGTTATAGTACTGTATAATATGTACTAAAATTCTGAATATTCTCCTAAAACCAGGAAATCCTGGCCTCCATATGAAGACCAGTCCATTGCTATTGTAATAGTAATAGTAATAGTAATAGTAATCACTTGATATTTTGAACAAAAATAAATATTTATATCTGTAAAAGGCGAACAACTTTTAAATGTTTGATAAAACTCACCAAATCACTATTTATTGAATTCAATTTCATTTGTCTCCCTTTAAATGAGATTTTAAGAGATTTATCAATAAAACATATCTGTTTCATCACTCAAGTGGCTATTATGCAGTCAAATAAGAGTTTATCAAAATATGTTATTTTAATTGCTTTTAAATCTAAAAATAAATTTGAGGTTTTATTTTTTAAAAATTTATGTTTGTTGTTTGGTTTGTTAAAATTTCAGTTATTTTAGTATTAAAAGTATACGATTTTAATCCTTAAAGCTTAGGATTTAATGGTATTATATGATACATTCAATAAAAAAAGCCAGGCTTTGTTTTGTTCAAAATTTGAACTTCAAATGCAATCGTATAATAAATTTATTGTTGGGCTAACACCCAATGTTTGCCATTCAAATAATTTATGTCTTTTTGAGACTTTTATAAATTAAATTATACATTAATACACAACACTTGACCATAGGATGTGTTTAAGGATATAAAACAGACAATTTGAGACCAATATCCTTGCTATATTTATTATTTAGACATTTTTCTAGTGAATTGGTCTCAAAATAATATGTTTAGAATAAATAAGAAATGACTTAACAAACAATGAATTGCAAAAAATGTAGAGATTTATTAAATAAATAATGAAAATTAATTTCTCCCTAAAAATGGCATGGACACAACTGAAAAAATTGTTGATCACATAACTATTGAATTCTTATCAAACAATACTTCATACAATTAAATATGAATTTAAAACTATTTTTTGATGTTTTCGATGATCCAGTCAACAGTATTGGAGACTCTGTGATAGATTCCGGGTTGTCTGGATTGGGCGCAACCAAATCCGGCTGATGTGATGCCCGCCAGAGTCCACCTGCCATTCGTGTTGATCACTATTATAGCAGAATCCATGCATTTCTTAGTAAATATGAGCACATATAGTATTAAACACAATTTTCTAACCTAACGGACCCCCAGAATCGCCCTTTG